GTGGAACACGAAGTATTATAGAGCACACACAGCTCTTTCAGCTTCAGGGAAATAGTTCTTATGAAGTTGCACATAGCTGGCAAATATTTGTATACCTGTAAGTGAATAAATTAGAACGTTGTGATGAATTTAGATGGATCGTTTACTTTCTTTTTTAAGTTAAAAATACACATTTTGAAATTAAAATTAGAATCTTCTTAATGTTTGAGAAATACGATATGTTCGTTTCTCATCATCGTGTCACTGATGGGGAACAAGAGAATATGAAACTACCTCTCATCGTTGTGTACAAGGAGGACATGTTATGTACACATGCCGTTTAAACACATGCAGGCTTTGTTGGAACATGAATAGATTTTCTATGGCCGAATACCTAGATGACATATAGCTAAACTTTGTTGTTTTCGAACTGTTGAATTTCAAAGATTAAGAATTGCTTTGGATTTTGAAGGAGGGCTTTGCCTTTTCTAAACACATTCTTCTTCAAAAGATGAAATTTGATTTAAGTACGTGCTGGAATTTGACAGAGACTCTTATGCTGGAGAGGTGGGAATTTCAAAAGGGTGTGTGATGTTTACATCAGAAAGGAAATTATACGTACTTCATTTCATACTTTCATTCCTTCATTTTGAATCCAGTTTAGGATATGACACCAGCTCTGGCCTGGGGCCTGGGGCTAGTTGCAATTCACAAGGACTACCGGTACTCAAATCGAGAAGGACAGGACCCTGAGTGTCTTGTAACAGTATTGACCCCATATCTCTGATTTTATTCTATCCTTTACACAACTCAACAATTTTGAATAAGTTTGGAGTGGCCAATGTTTGTCTATTTGTTTCATTCATCAAAGCTGATTTTTTTGTCTTGAAAGTTTCACTTGCCAGATATTTTTCCGCTGATATGTCACACATGAAAAAGTTATTTTTTGAGTACTTAATTTTTTGTATCAACAACACAATTAGATGCTAAATTTGATGTTCATATTTCGCCAAATAACCAGTTGGAGCTGTTTCCATGCATAATAAATGTTCTTTTCCTTTTTTGCCTGAAATTAACTCCGTCAGTATTCTGAGAAAAGCTGACCTTTCTCACTCTAGGGTCTGATCTCAAAGGTACCTGGGTTGAGGCTGATGGAATTTACAAAGCATATTATGCCAAAATATATCTGTGATCCATCTTCCAGAGGCAAGGGAGTTAACTAGACTATAAAAGTCCAGTTTCAACCCTTGCTGAATTTCCCTATGGAGTTATTTTTTTGGCTGGACTAAGGATTTTATGCATAGTCCAATCAAAATCGTGTCAGGAAATCGACATCCGGTTTGTCAACTGCCGTGCAGATAGCAATCTCACTAAAATCAGATCTAAGTTCTCGCTGCCGCTCAACAAAGATCTGAGGACATCCCATTACGGGTCACGTCAGAACGACTTTTCGCGACCAATTAAATGACCAGCAAGAAGTCGACATCAGCCAATTAGAAAGCAGCTTTCTCAAGCTTTACGGTACTCGTTTCAACCTGGCGACTTACATTTTGACTGCGCTAAAAAAAATATGTTGACACAGTTCTCGATTAAAATTTTGAAAACTGAACAAACGAACATTCTGCAATGTCTAATACATGGTTGAGGTTGTACGGCAGTGCTTCTCACGTACTGTGCAACGCCTCCTCCGTTCAAATGTTTATCCCACGGGAGCGAGAGATAGACGATAATTTTGACGGAATCAATAACTGTTGTTCGGAATACCCCGTTTTAACATTTTCGAGATTGCATGATTAGAAAACATTCCGACTGTCACTTTCATGATTTGACTTTGACGCTTTGATTGGTCGGATGAAAGGTCGTTCTGACATGATCCGTAATGGGATGTCCTCAGATCTTGGTTTAGCGGTAACGAGAACTAAGATCTGATTTTAATCAGATTGTGCTTATAGGGGTATCCTGTTGATGAAAGCGTTCGCTCATCACACCAAAGGTCCCGGTTTGATTCCCAACATGTGTACAATATGTGAGGCCTATTTCTGGTGTACCCTGTTGTGGTATAGCTGGAATATTGCTAAAAGTGGCGTAAAACCATACTCTCACTCATTCACTTTATTGAGACTTGTAAAACCTTCCTTACTTCAGCTGTTCCCACAAGTCCTGTGGATTATCAATGCTTTAGTGTTTCAATAGTTTTTCTTCTGGCTGGACTGGAGTCAGATTCTTAGGCTGCACCTGTCACCTGTGACGTCAGTATTGACATGAATCAGCTGATCCAGTTATGCAGGAAATATAATGAAATAACATGGAGAATGTGTCACAGAATATGTGCTGTGTCGTCCATTGCGGTCACTCCTGGAGTCTGTATCAGGAGGGAGCACGGGTGGCCCAGTCGTCTAAGGCGCCGTGATTCGCTGTGCAGAGTTGCATCCCTTGGGCACGCCAGAAACCTATGATTGTGGCTTCGCCCGATTATGTTTCTAGGTTTGTCAGCACCATGCCCGTGCTCGTGGGTTTCACCGAAGTGGTAAACGTCTGAGACCTGCATCACTTCAGGCTTTCCTCCCACATTATGCTGACACGCCGTGATGTAACTGGGATACTGTTAAAAGCGGCGTTAAACCCAACTCACTCACTCACTCACTTTATCAGGAATGGGTTCGAGAATGATATAGATACTTGAATATATTTCAGTAACTTAATTTGATACCATTTGAATAAATTTTAATTCTTAGCCCACCTTACTGGAAGTTAGGTTAGGTTATGTCATGGCCTATTTGTCCATCGTCCGTCATGCGTCGTAAACATTTTCTTCTCAGAAAATTGTGGAACAATGACGCTGAAATTTCACATGCTAATGATGACAACCCATTTTGCTCAAGAGGTTCACATCAAATTTTCAATATGGCCTCCATAGCAGCCATATTGAAAAACCTGTTAATCATCATTACTCGGACATTTTATTTAAAACCTAGCTGAAAGTTTGTACATGAGTAGGTAGTGTGACTCAATATATATGTTCTGTATTTTCTGATATTTTAAATTTTGACCTTGATTTGACCTTGATTTGACCTGTGCACTTGGAGCATACTGCAAGCTAAAACTTCTTTTGGTCACTAGTTAGCCATTTCATTTCAAAATGGAAGGAAGTGAGTTAAATTTGTAGTTGTGGGAATCAACACATGTGTCCTATTTTTTGCTTTCCGGGGTAGAATAGGTCTTCAGCAACCCATGCTTGCCGTAAAAGGTGACTATGCTTGTCGTAAAAGGCGACTAACGGGATCGGGTGGTCAGGCTCACTGACTTGTTTGACCCATGTCATCGATCCCAATTGCGTGGATCGATACTCATGATATTAATAACTGGATTGTCTGGTCCAGACTCAATTATTTACAGACCGCTGTCATATAGCTGGAATATTGCTGAGTGCGGCGTAAAACAACAAACAAACAAACAATATTTCAAATCTAGACCTTGATTTGGCCACACAATGTGAAAACATCATCTCGAGAGAGAAACCACTGGACCAATGAAGCGGAAACTTTACATGCTTGTACCCACCAGTGATGACATCTGAATTTTTTCAAGATGTTGGAATCAAATTTTCAGCATGGCCACCATGGTGGCCATATTGGAAAACTATTTATGGCCATTATTCAGTCATTTTTGTTCAAAATGGAACAAAATTTGGTGTTTGCTAAGACAGGCATGGGACTCAACATACATTTTGTTTGTTTTGTAATATGTTATATTTTGACCTTGGTTTGGTCTTAAATTCTCTCAAAATGTATATTTGCCTCTGTGAACTTCTTCTCTTCTGACATTATCAGACTTGTTTGAAGCATGGATGTTTTTTCTCCTTAAGATGACAGCTTTTTCATTTATAGATTTGAGTGTTAGTTTTTAGACCTCAGTATTTATGCAGAAAGTATTTGAATATCTATGCTGACTTTTGTTCAGTCTTTGTTTAACTGTTGACTACATATTCAGGTCATCTCTAGTACCGTGGCACTGTTTTGCATATTCATCATGTTCATGTATGTATGGTTTAAATCGTTCGTTCTGAATTTGCAATTATGTGTAGTGCATATCAGAGTGATCATTTTACAAACTGATGAACAGGAAGGCACAGTTGGCCAGAGGTCACAGGTAATATAAATCCCTTTGCAGAGTGACATCCCTTAGTTGTGCCAGGATCGTCTAGATTCACCCTGATTATGATCCTTGGTCTGACAGCACACATACGTACAGCACTCATTTGTTTCACGAAAATGGTAAAAGTCCATGGCGTGGATCACCTCAGCCTCTTCTCACAATAAAGTAAGTCATCAAACAACACCCAAAGACTGGAAGACTTAAAGTAACACATGACATAGTAACATGGAATTCCTTCTCTGCACACTACACCAGTGTCATAGTTACCTGGGTATTAAAGGATCTCTGTGAGAATTCTGTGCACCCAAAATAGCATGGAAATATAAGCCTCATTTTGGGTTTAGGTTGTGTACACACAGGTTGCTGGACCAGCATAGAGTGACATTTGGTCATTTAGAAATATAGTTATCTTATTTAAAAATATATATCTACAAAATTAAACAATAAAATCCAAATGGAGCCCAGAAAAATCTTTGATATCTTAGTGCCGAAGCATCTAGACTTGCCAAATCATTATAGACTTGAGTTGGACCTTTTAGATTATTTTCTCTAGGATCTGGGAGACAGACGAGGAGGAGCATTCTGGTGCTGAATAATGGTTGTTGTTTTAAATGAGATTCTCCCATGAGCCTTTGGTGGAACATAATAGAGCTTCTAATAAATAGGATTGCGTGACTTGAACTGTTATGGCGTTGTTTGTCCTTTGAACATGAACATAGGAGAGATAATGGGGCTGACTGGTATGTAAAATGTTCTTTCAGTCGTGATTTTCCAAGGAGTGTATACAAACATCAATACAAATGCATCATGGTGTTTATCATTCATAATGTTGGACATAAATGATGATGTATTGTTTTGTTTGGCAGGCCCGGGCTTTCTTCCAAGCAGCGTTTGTTCTGGCCCCCCACATGTACGAGCCCCACTACAACTTTGCTGCCCTAGCTGACCAGGTGAGTACCGGGGTGGGGTGGGGTGTGGTAGGCCATAGGATGGGTGAGGAAGTGTTTGTTCTGGCCCCCCACATGTACGAGCCCCACTACAACTTTGCTGCCCTAGCTGACCAGGTGAGTACCGGGGTGGGGTGGGGTGTGGTAGGCCATAGGATGGGTGAGGAAGTGTTTGTTCTGGCCCCCCACATGTACGAGCCCCACTACAACTTTGCTGCTCTAGCTGACCAGGTTAGTGCTGTGGTAGGGTGCGGAGGGGTTGGTTTTCAGATGTTATAAATAACAAATGACAGTTTGTGTTCCTATGATTAGAGACTTCACGGCATCAGTGACGGATATTTATGGAAATACAATATCTTGTTGCCAGCAGTACTGAGCAATACTGGAGAGAGCTGAACTTGGGGTATAGAGCAATGAGGCAGTGTTCACGATACCATTTGTTTGTTTGTTGTTTAACGCTGCACTCAGCAATATTCCAGCGATATGACGGCTGTCTGTAAATAATCGAGTCTGAACCAGACAATCCAGTGACTGACATCATGAGCATTGATCCATGCAATTGGGGTACGATGACATGGATCAACCAAGTCAGCCAGCCTGACCACCTGATCCTGTTAGTCGCCTCCTATGACAAGCATGGATCGGTGAAGACCTAGTCTTACCCGGATCTTCACGGGTCTATACCACTGATGTCATGATCAATGTGTCCTACTGTAATCTTTGTCCTGACATAAAAGTGGTTAAGCTGATTGGAGAAAAAGAAATTTTAATTTTGTTAAATAATACAACAACTAAACTCGGAAATTTCAACCTCTTTCTTTGAAGGGAAGTTGTACAACATTGGGTGTATTATCAAACATGTTTTAGTTTCATCAATGTTTCAGCTAAGTTTGCACATTATCTGAAAGCAAATTTAACTTGTAATAAGCGCCCCCTGTGCCAAGTTTCTAAGTTCCCAGGGTGCTCATTATGGTAAATACGGTTTATGAAATTAAATGATTTGTGTGATGTTGGTCTACTCGTTACAGTAAAACCTCACATCTCAGAACAGTTTGATATCCACTTTATTCTGTAAGGATACCAGTACTTGGTTCAGTAGCTGTGCAGAGTTGTGTCCCTTGGGCACGCCAGACACCTAAGATTGTGGGTTTGAATCCCGATTCATCCAAATTATGTTACTAGGTTTGTCAGCACCATACCCATACTCGTTGGTTTCACCGTCTCAGGCCTGCATCACTTCAGGCTTTCTTCCCACAATTAGCTGACACATTGTGATATATAATAGTGTAAAAGCAGCTTTAAACACAACTCACTCATGAAGATCCGGGGTAGAATAGGTCTTCAGCAACCCATGCTTGCCATAAAAGGCGACTATGCTTGTCATAAGTTGCGACTAATGGGATCGGGTGGTCAGGCTCGCTGACTTGGTTGATGCATGTCATCGTATCCCAATCGCATGGATTGATGCTCATGATATCAATCACTGGATTGTCTTGTCCAAACTCGATTATTTACAGACAGTCATCATATAGCTGGAATATTTGCTGAATGTGGCGTTAAACAACAAACAGACAAACACATGGTTCAGAAATATTTACAACCCGAATAACAAGTTAACTGTTTCCTAATGGCGTGATTAAGCAAGTAGTTGAACCCCAACTACTACACATATGCACAGCCTCCTCATCCGATCCAGTTCCCATCACCAGGGTTTTGACTATTAACCAAATATTTAAATATTGGATGCAGTAAAGCCTAACATTATAAATAGTTTTGCAGACCTAAATGAAGAAAGTTCCTAATCCAATAATCAGAAAGTCACAAGTAGAATTAAAACTGTAATTTCTGTAATAACTTAATACCATTCATTTGAATCTCTTGATGTCGGACCTCCATGTTAATCCAAGGTTACTCTTCAGACTCGGAGGGCATGTTTAATTCTTTGGTGGGGCAAGGAGTATAATATGATTTATTAACTGGAGAAATGTGATTAATTTGGTTTGAAATGCTTAATTTTAATTCCATGTTCAAACTCAGTGCAAACTCCCATGGGATGGCGTCTTGGAGAGAATATTTGTTGAGAAGGTTTTTGACATCAGTATTCAATTCATCCTGAGGCTACTCAGAATTATATAATGAGCGTTTTCAACAAAATATCTTTTTTCTTTTGTTGATGTTTCATCTTGTTCTCTGAACAGCAAGCACTGAAATCAAGGGGTCGTTTCCTGACCCAAATGTTACAAGTAATCCAAAGGTTCAAATATTTCAGCAGCACAACTCAAGGTCATAACTCAAGGTCACAAGGACAACCTTGATTTCAAACACGGTTATTTGACAGAAGAAAATATATCAAATAATTTTTTCGCAGTTTCACTTCTGATTAAATCTTTATTTATAACATTACTTTTAAACTCTATTTTTTTTTCAAGCATTATTTAACATGTTTCAAAAACAATATTTTACATTTTGACAAAAAATATGCTTTTTTAAAATCCATTTCTTATTTTCATTTCCTTGGGCAAAACATTCTTGATATTTAGAATTTTTTTGGAAAGGTCAACAAATGAATTGGAACATTTCCCAACTGAAACCACTAATTAGATATTACGGTTCAAGTTTAAATATCCTTCCCATTGTGTGGTGAGGCTGCCATCGTCACATTCACCGATACAGAGGCTGACATTGGGAAGATGACTAGGGGGAGTTAGGAAGCTGTGTTTCCTTGTGATGGCCTTGAGTCGGATGATGGCGCCAGCGTCCCCCGAGACAATCGGGGGCGTGGCCGGTAGGAGCCTCAGTGCGGCTGTTAAAGAGATTTATTGCTTTTCACAAACATTGCTTGTCATAGGAGCTTGTTAATGATAATGATATTGGCATCTTGGGCTTCCAATATTTATTATTTTTGTGATGTGTTCAGGATATTTTGTTTTGAAGAGATAAGGGAAATGTTTGTGGTTTAAGTATTTTGTCCTTTAGAAGTGTTTGTTCTTGTGTTTGTTGTTCAATGCCGCACTCAGCAATATTCCAGCTATATGACATCAGTCTGTAAATAATCAAATCTGGACCAGACAAACCAGTGATTGACATCATGAGCATCGATCCACACAGTTGGGATACGATGACATGCATCAACCAAGTCAGCGAGCCTGACCACCTGATCCTGTTAGTCGCCTCTTACAAGCATAGTCGCCTTTTATGGCAAGCATGATGGGTTGCTGAAGACCTATTCTACCTTGGATCTTCACGGGTCTCACCAGAATGACTTACGTTTATGTATGTTTGATATTGCATTGATCAGTCCATTGATAATGGGTTTTTAGGTAAAAATAAATAATAGATACATATTGTCCATGTGTAATGTAAGTATTTAATGGGGTTTTATCATGTTAGTGTTTAGTCAGTATCTACCATTCTCCTCTTGGTTAACATTAAAGGTCAAGGTCACTGATTTGGAAATGAGGCTGTGGCCACAATAACTTGTTTTGTATTTATGACAGGATTTTGAGCAATCAAAGCAGTGTCTACAGATCGTTAGATTTTGTCAAGTTCAAGGTCACCAGAGGTCACTTAATGAAACAGTATGTGGTTGCACAGGTCTGTTTGCATCTGATTAGCTGAAAGTCATGTGATACATAGATCTTAGTGTAAATGTTTAGTGCGGGATGTGTGCTTTAAGTGATTACTGTCAGATGTGTTGTTTTCCTTCAACAGGGAATAATCATAATTGAGTAAGAAATCCAGTCTGGTAGCTTAGGACTTTTTGTCAGTAAGATAATGCCATCGAATTCAAAGTGAAGCAAAGCCAAAAATGTTTGCCTGACCTTTATGTCCATATAAGGTATTGTCCGGTATGTTAATTTAAATACAGCCAAGTGTTATCATGTGCAGTGTAGTTTTAGTGAAGGTCTCCATAGATTGATTAAAAGATTTTCATCCAAAGTTTTCAAAAATTCCAGGTGGGAGGCATTTTGTTTTTTAGACTGCTCAAGACATTTCCGTATATTTACTGTCGATGGATGTGATTCTGATGAATTTTGGGTGGAACTATATTTGGTAAATGTTATGAAGTAACATCAGTTTAACTTCCAGTCAAGCGGGCTGTGCGCACCAGGGACTTAGGCTGTGTGGCCTCTGAAAATCTCACTTTCTGCATTGCCAAAAACTTAATTATCAGTGATTATATTAATAATTATGAGTGAACAGGATGCAATGCTGTCACCACGGGAAAGGCCCAACTGAAGAACGCTATATGTTCTCAAGCAGAATTTAAAGAAAATGAATTTACTGAGTGGGTTGATGCAAATGAGCTGTTGTTGCAAGCATAGGGGAACTTTCAGCCAAAGGTTTTTCTACTCTGCGTCTCACTTTGCAACTACTCACTGAGGATATTGTGGATATGCATTTCTCTGACTGTTTACCGTTGGCACAAATGCTTTTACTGAATTCACATCAATGTTGGGTAGGACTATGCATATGGTGTTTTTCATCAAGCAGCACAAGAAGGGTACACATGTATGGAGTTTCCTCGTCTGTGGGTACTTGGGGACAATAGAGTGATGAGAAACAGGCAGGGATGAGGTGAGGTGGTGAAATGGGGTTTAACGTCGCGTCCAAGATTATTGCACTTATGTAGCGACATGCATGCACGTTTATGTGTGTGGCTGCTTGTACTAGTCTGGACTAATGCCGATTTATAGTGCTAGCACACTGAGATACCATGCCGCAGTTTAACATGAATACCCCACTCAGACACAGTATACTGACTCCGAGCCGACCAGTCCTTGTTTAGCCCCTTAATGCCGAGCACCAGACAGGGTAACAACAAGTACCATCTTTTAACGTCTTTTGGTATGACGCGGCCGTGGATCAAACACCGGGCCTTCCGTTCTCCGGGCGGACGCTCTACCACAAGACCACGGAGGCGGTCAGGCAGGGATGAAGATATAATTATTGTCAATGAGAAGTTGGGAATATGTTTATCACCATACTAAATGGTGATCTCTCAGTGAAAAAAGTATTAAGCAGTTAATAATTGAATGTGCTATCTCCCTGATGACTAACTTTTCATTTAATATAAAAGATCATATCAAAATTTTCACTCATTGTTCGACCCTCACACAAATTGATTGTTAATGCTATAAATACCACACAATCATGCTGAAAACCTGATGTCCTCTCATTAATGACATCTCTGTTAAAACCTGATAAAAACATGGTTATCTGAATGACACACCCTATTCCATATTGGGTCCTCATTAGTGCTACATTGTACCTCCATCACAGACTAATTATATCCGGCTATCATAGGTCATCCATCACTGTCCAGAGAGTTTAATGGGTATTGCTGGACAGAGATAGGGGGAGGTAACTCTAATCTATAATCACACCCTGTAAACAGCCCAAGGCATGGCTTGGTTTTAATTACTCAATCCGGTTTCATTTTTCGTCAGCGGCGGCCATCTAGGGGTCAGATGTTGTCACTGACCGATCAGTATCCAGATATCATGTCGCTGACCGTTATTGTCGCAGTGGTGGCCATCAAGCTGGGCGGAATGGTGTTATCAATTCTCATTAGGTAATTAATGCTGGACTTAATTGGCCTGTATTAGCAATTATCATCAATGAATGACCATAGGTCACCGGATTGACCGTTGGGTGGTGATTGCCAGTGATGGTCAGTCAGTGTTGCATGCATGGTATTAGGACTTCACCAGTGGAACTTGATAGTGTACAATTAGGTTACGTAATGGCATACAAATGACGCACCATGCAACAATTATCGAGTTTGGTTTAAAGTTTGAATGTGAATTTTAAAAGGCCTCTTTTCTTTATCAATTTATGAAATATATGTCATTACACGAGTGTCGTAAATGTTGCCTTGATATGCAGCTGTGTAAGCGTAGAGTTATTGTCCAATTATCTAGTTGAAAACATATGTAAAAGACTACCACAGTTTCCTGTTGTTTGATGTAGTGGGGAGGTTTTTCTGACTGCATGTGTTTTGTGATGTTGTGGTACAAGTTTGCTCGGTGAAACACAAGTTTGTTGTGTAATGACACCATCAATGATGGCCGTTTCTGCAACATGCAACTAATGCTGACAGCATTAGAAGAAGCATCAAAGATGGCCAAGAACAGATTCAGGGCCCCGTTCCACAAAGCGATCATAGTGCTAGGGTAATTGTAGTCTGTCTCACAGTCTCTGAACCATATTATTTTTCCTTCCGCCAGCCCTTTCTGTAATGCAAAAGCACTAAATGAAGCAAGTCTAGATTTTCCTCTGGTTTTCACTGTGGGCTGGGGCTGCTTTTCAGTTTTAATGAAGATGTTTGTTTCTATCAAAATTATATATTTTCTGAGACTAAGCATCAGTCAAATGTGATCGTACCACCTTTACCAGACTTACAACTGTCGTAGAGCTAGAATCACTGTGTGGCACGAGGCCCAGGACTTTCAATTCATAGTCCTGGGTTCAAGTAAAACTTTTGCAATGTTCAGTCAACTCTCGTTGACAATTCAAGTGAGTGAGTTGGGTTTAACGTCGTTTTTAACAGTATTCCAGTTATATCACGGCGTGTCAGCTTAATGTGGGAGGAAAGCCCAAAGTGATGCAGGTCTCGGACGTTTACCCCCTCTGTGAAAACCCACGAGCACGGGCATGGTGCTGACAAACCTAGAAACATAATCGGGGCGAACCTGGATTCAAACCCACAATGTTTCTGGCATGCCAAAGGGATGCAACTCTGCACAGCGAATCACGGCACCTTAGACGACTGGGCCACTCGTGCCCCCTGATGAAAATGATGATGATAGCAGTAACAGTGGACTGATGATGATGATGATGATGATTATGATGATGATGATGATGATAACATGAATTTCAAAGAATGTCTGTGATGGTCCAAGCAGTGATGCAGCAATAAGAAATACTAGGTGTTGATGTAGGGTTAAGTCTTCTTGTCCTTATGTTGAATGACCAGCAACTGGATGAGCAAACTTCTCCGTCTCTCATGACACCGACAATTTATTATTCCTGACAAAGACAGTTTATTATTCTAATAAGATAATAAATAATCTTGAGTAGAAAAGTCCAAATGAATGCATGTGCCTCCAACCTACGTGACCGTCAACAGGCGTGTGTGGTGACATCACACTCATATCCATGGATATCGGTGAGGAATGCTGGTATATCACATACAGGAAGTCGGTGATACAGTCGGGGCGATATATCTGACTGGCAACATCTGCAGCGTACACACACATAGAACCTGTCTCATTATGACAGGGCGTGGTAATTGACACACAGTCAGCTGGCTCATGCCCAAATCTCAAAATTTTCGTTTGATTTATCAGAAATGGAATATTTCACATCCGTGTATGTGCATGTAATTCTTTGTAGATATTTTCCTGTATGTTACGGATGGCAATTAGCAAGTGTCGGTTCAGTTTGACTTGCTGGGGACAGAGACAGCCATCATATACAGTCATGGCTCACACTTTGTCCTTTGTCAAGAACGTCTGTAGTTTTCCTGTTAGGGAAGTTTTACTAGAATCAGATCTTGACATTTATGTAGAAAGTGGGAGCTGTGTCATGTCTGTTTGGATGAAATGAATTCGTCATCATGTTCTGTTCAGGAAGAAAAATAAATTTAAAAAATTTAAATATCAGATCCTAACCTCAATATGATAAATATAGATACTAAAGAAGTCTAAATTATCTTACCCCAATCAGTGCAGTGCTGTGAGTCATGCAGTGTTGTAATGCAGCAGTGACCAGAGAAGGGAAATATTGAAGTGTTTGAAGATACAAACCTGGTCACATGCTACAGAAACAATAGAAAAGACTATCACTAGCCAGCTGTGGCTGGACCATATCACTAAGGACCTTACATAACTACACCCCCTACTTTACTGAATTATTGGTAGAGAGTGCTCAGGTTAGTTTATGGAGCTACTACCATATTTAACTCAATTATTTACCTAAGTTTAAAATACGTAAGTTAAACTACACAATATTTACATTCTGCTATAAAAATTAAACACATCTAGGTTTAACCCACTCATTCTTCTCACATAGTGTACTTTACACAAGACCCGGAGTAGAATAGGTCTTCAGCAATCCATGCTTGCCGTTAAAGGCAACTATGTTTGTCATAATAGGCGACTTACGGGATTGGGTGGTTAGGCTCGCTGACTTGGTTGATGCACGTCGTCGTAACCCAATTGCGTGGATCGATGCTCATGTCAATCACTGGAATGTCTGGTCCAGATTCGATTATTTACAGACCGGAATATTGCTGAGTGTGGCGTTAAACAATAAACAAACAAACAAACTTTACACCAATTATGGTTGATAAGATTTGGTTATGTGTTTTTGGCAGTGTCAAGGCCATGTGGGGATTCCGGGTTACAATCGGTTCCTAGCAACCCCATCTTCCCCAAACAAGGGAATTAACAGACTCTAGAAGTCCAGTTTCCACCCTTGCTGATCTAGGCTAGAATCATGGAGTTATACTTTGGCTGGACCAACGAGCCTTACATAGTCCGATCAAAATCATGTAACAAAATCGACATGCAGTTTTTTTAAACAATATATATCTTGATTATCGATCTGATCGTCTTGACTGGGTGCCGCCATTTTATTTGATCAAATGCTAGAGATATAAGAGGTGGAATCTGATTGGTCAATAGGAGGGACATAACTCGTATGGCAGGCTTGGTGACTTGGTTGATTGTGTATCATTGTACCCCAAAGGCATGGATTGTTGTACACAATATCCATCACTGGATTTGATGGTCCAGATTCGATTTTTTTACACACAGCTGTCATTTACAGTATATTGCTGAGAGCATTAAACAACAAACAGATCAAATCCTTCTTGTTAGGGAATTCTGCAATGTGTATTATATATTTTCGTAGATAGAGGGACAGTGATGGTTTTTGTATGTTCACCCTGAGTACAGGAGTTGAAGGCTGTTGTTCAGTGCAGGTCTACAGTCTGTGTTACTTGTCCTTGTTTCAGCTTGGTGACCTTCAGAGCAGCTACAACGCCGCCAAGCGAGCCGTGGACGCCTTCGCCAACCACACTGACAGCAAGGATCTTCTCAAGCAGCTCAAGCAACACTTCTCTCTCCTGTGATCGAATCTCTCATATGTGATCAACTCTCCCCTCCTGTAATGTCTCTCTCCTGTGGATGGATGTCTATCCTGTGATGTCTCTCTTGTGATGTCTCTCTCCTGGGAGCGGGTCTCTCTCCTGGGAGCGGATGTCTCTCCTCTGAGCGGATGTCTCTCCTGTGAGCGGATGTCTCTCCTGTGAGTGGATGTCTCTCCTGTGAGCAGATGTCTCTCTTGTGATGTCTCACCTGTGAGCGGATGTCTCTCCTGGAAGCAGATGTCTCTCCTGTGAGCAAATGTCTCTCCTGTGAGTGAATGTCTCTCCTGTGAGTGGATGTCTCTCCTGTGAGTGGATGTCTCTCCTGTAAGCGGGTCTCTCTCCTGGGAGCGGGTCTCTCTCCTGTGAGCGGATGTCTCTCTTGTGATATCTCTCCTGTGAGCGGATGGCTCTCCTGTGAGCGAATGTCTCTCCTGTGAGCGGATGTCTCTCTTGTGATGTCTCACCTGTGAGCGGATGTCTCTCCTGTGAGTGGATGTCTCTCCTGTGAGTGGATGTCTCTCCTGTGAGCGGGTCTCTCTCCTTGGAGCCGGTCTCTCTCCTGGGAGCGGATGTCTCTCTTGTGATGTCTCTCCTGTGGATGGATGTCTATCCTGTGATGTCTCTCTTGTGATGTCTCTCTCCTGGGAGCGGGTCTCTCTCCTGGGAGCGGATGTCTCTCCTCTGAGCGGATGTCTCTCCTGTGAGCGGATGTCTCTCCTGTGAGTGGATGTCTCTCCTGTGAGCAGATGTCTCTCTTGTGATGTCTCACCTGTGAGCGGATGTCTCTCCTGGAAGCAGATGTCTCTCCTGTGAGCGAATGTCTCTCCTGTGAGTGAATGTCTCTCCTGTGAGTGGATGTCTCTCCTGTGAGTGGATGTCTCTCCTGTAAGCGGGTCTCTCTCCTGGGAGCGGGTCTCTCTCCTGTGAGCGGATGTCTCTCTTGTGATATCTCTCCTGTGAGCGGATGTCTCTCCTGTGAGCGAATGTCTCTCCTGTGAGCGGATGTCTCTCTTGTGATGTCTCACCTGTGAGCGGATGTCTCTCCTGTGAGTGGATGTCTCTCCTGTGAGTGGATGTCTCTCCTGTGAGCGGGTCTCTCTCCTTGGAGCCGGTCTCTCTCCTGGGAGCGGATGTCTCTCTTGTGATGTCTCTCCTGTGAGTGGATGTCTCTCCTGTGAGCGGGTCTCTCTCCTTGGAGCCGGTCTCTCTCCTGGGAGCGGATGTCTCTCTTGTGATGTCTCTCCTCTGAGTGGATGTCTCTCCTGGGAACGGGTCTCTCTCCTGGGAACGGATGTCTCTCTTGTGATGTCTCTTCTGTGAGTGGATGTCTCTCCTGGGAGCGGGTCTCTCTCCTGGGAACGGATGTCTCTCTTGTGATATCTCTCCTGTGAGCGGATATCTCTCCTGGGAGCGGGTCTCTCGCCTGGGAGCGGATGTCTCTCTTGTGATGTCTCTCCTGTGAATGGATGTCTCTCCTGTGAGCGGATGTCTCTCCTGTGAGCGGATGTCTCTCCTGTGAGCGGATGTCTCTCCTGTGAGTGGATGTCTCTCCTTTGATGTCTCTCTCCTGGTAGCTGATGTACCTCGATCGCTAAATGTCTCAAGCTGAAACGTAATGGCTCAATTTGACAGTTTAGACTACTGATTCACACAGTCTTAGTATTCATTGTGCACATGAGCCCTGTGAGTAAGGTGTTTGGGTTTGTTTCCAGGGTTTGGTACAATTTTAAAAATTAGATGGATTGCTTACTGTGACTAACACTTGTAACAGTGGCTGCTCAGTGAGCCCTGCACTGGTCACAATGACTTCTGGACTATCAAGCTTAGACTGGTCTCAACTGTGTCCAAGATTAGTCTGACACTGTGATGGGGGACCAGGATCGGCTACTCACTCTTGGACCTCTGTGATGTAGTATGTCTCACACAGCAGGGACCCAAGCTGACCCCATCTGACACTGATTCATTGTGCTAGATTACACCTGGCAGTCTAGGACTTCAACACATCTCACTGAATACAATATGTCTTACTTACTTGACTTCTCCTACTAGTGGTTGGTTTGTCTTTCACATACAGTTAACTGCGGTTATAACGAATTTTCACTGTGCATGAAAACTTTTTTTTATTATTTTTAATCTAAAAATTTTTTAAATCCGTACCATTCAGCTTGGTAAAATGGATATCGCACTAACAAAATAGTAAGTTTCATTAATATTTGTCAGAACTACTTTGGGTCCAAATGAAATTTCCAGGCAGCGACTACTCAATAACATCACAAATAAGCAAAACACATAATGTGTATCACCTAAAGATACACTTTCAGGAAATTCTGGAAAAATATTTTGACTCTGTTACCAAATGTGTTTTTTCCACATTTTGCTGTTGAAGTGCATAGGATGGGTGGGCAGATGGGTAAAGTGTTTTCTCTTCACGCCGAGCACCCAGGTTCAATTTTCTTTCATGGATACACTGTGTCCGGCGCCAAGGTGAGCTGGCTACAGTATTTCTGGATGAAGCACATTTTGGCGTCTCTTCAGGCAAGTGACTTTGTTAGAAATTTGTCTCTGTTCACCCAGCTATGAATGGGTACCCGGTAGGATGAGGTGGCAATGGTTAACCTGCTAGTGCCTCATGGGCAGCTTGGGTTGTATACTCCCCAGGAAGCTGAGAATGAAAATAGTGTGCACACTGATTCATTGACTGGGGTAATAATGTCGCAAAAGAGCATGATTTAGGGCGCAGATTTGGTGCGTTATAAATACCGTATTCATATTAATAATGATTAAATATGTGCATTATTATTATGGCATAGTATCCAGCTTCACTCCTTCAGTGCAGTGGTTAAAGCATTTGTTTGTCACGTGGAAGACCCGGGTTTGATTCCCGACATGGGTACAATGTGTGAAGCCCATTTCTGGTGTCCCCTGCCGTGATATTGCTGGAATATTGCTAAAAGTGGCATAAAACCATAATCACTCACTCACTCACTCACTCACTGCTGTAGGTGAAATGTGGTATGAGGTATCTGTGTCCTATGATAGTATCATAAACTGAGCCATTCAGTCTTCTCCGCAATCATACATTCCTGTAACCTCCGTCCAATGGCAATACATCATTGTCTGTTCGTGAAATACTGTCTGTGATATGTTTATATGAAATGAAAGCTATTAGAAATAAAAACTTTTGAAATAGATAGTGGTGTCTTTGGTTTTAACACATTGCTTGATTTGTGCTGAGATAGCTGTATCATGTATCATGCAAGAATCCAAACACTGTGGTGACTTTGTGTTACCCAAGGTATCGATATGCTGTGGTGACTTTGTGCTACCCAGGGGTATCGATATGCTGTGGTGACTTTGTGTTACCCAGGGTATCGATATGCTGTGGTGACTTTGTGTAACCCAGGGGTATCGATATGCTGTGGTGACTTTGTGTTACCCAGGGTATCGATATGCTATGGTGACTTTGTGTTACCCAGGGTGTCGATATGCTGTGGTGAGTTTGTGTTACCCAGGGGTATTGATATGCTGTGGTGACTTTGTGTTACCCAGGGGTATCGATATGCTGTGGTGACTTTGTGTTACCCAGGGGTATCGATATGCTGTGGTGACTTTGTGTTACCCAGGGGTATCGATATGCTGTGGTGACTTTGTGTTACCCAGGGGTATCGATATGACTTGGTGACTTTGTGTTACCAAGGGGTATCAATATGCTGTGGTGACTTTGCGTTACCCAGGGGTATGGATATGCTGTGGTGACTTTGTGTTTCCAGGGGTATCGATATGTTGTGGTGACTTTGTGTTACCAAGGGGTATTGATATGCTGTGGTGACTTTGTGTTACCAAGGGGTATTGATATGCTGTGGTGACTTTGTGTTACCAAGGGGTATTGATATGCTGTGGTGACTTTGTGTTACCAAGGGCTATCGATATGCTGTGGTGACTTTGTGTTACCCAGGGGTATCGATATGCTGTGGTGACTTTGTGTGACCCAGGGGTATTGATATGTTGTGGTGACTTTGTGTTACCAAGGGGTATTGATATGCTGTGGTGACTTTGTGTTACCAAGGGGTATTGATATGCTGGGGTGACTTTGCGTTACCCAGGGGTATGGAAATGCTGTGGTGACTTTGTGTTACCCAGGGGTATGGAAATGCTGTGGTGACTTTGTGTTACCCAGGGTATCGATATGCTGTGGTGACTTTGTGTTACCAGTGTATCAGCTTTGTATCGTGAGGTGACGTGAAATTGTGTTCAACGTCAGATCAAGATTACTACACTTATATAACTGTGTGTATGTTCGTGTCAGGGCTACTGCTGGTTTTATAGTGCTAGCACACTGAGACACCATACCACAGTTTAACATGAATAACCCACTCAGACACAGTATACTGACTCTGAGCTGACCAGGCCTGATTTTAGATCCTTAATGCTAAGTGCCAGACAGGGTAACAATCCATCTTTTAGCATCTGTTAGAATGACGCGGACGGGGATCGAACCACCGGCCACTACACCATGGAGGCAATTGTTTCATTGTACCCCAACTTGTGGTTTAGACCAGACTTAATTATTTACAAGCCAATGTGATGTGATGCTTGAATGATGATAACAGCTGCATTAACTGACATTTATTTACCAGGAAACTTTCATTCCCAGAAGCTATTTTCTGTGTCTCCCTTCTCCTCCAGCCCTGAATTTTCATTCCAACGTGAAATAATAAAAGGTTTTCCCATCACAATTTTCCCTGTTGCTCTGGAAATTTATGCCCTGATGTGATAAAAATATATTCCTGTCATTGCACACTCATAAACCCCAGGCCAGCTTCATCCTTCTTCAGCTATATTTATTAAAATTTATCCAAAGCAAAGCGATTGGTTCTATGTCATAAATCAATGTAAAGACTATTACCAAGTGTAAACTTTAAAATGTCATAAAATAAGTAACAAAATTAGTGAAAAAAAATATTTATTAATTTTTTTGCCCATCTTCTCTCTTGTCGGTTGAGGTTGGAAATTAGAAACATTGAAAAAATATGGATGGCCATACAGGACACAGATGAAAATAGTTCTGGCAAATCATTTCCAGTACACATAACAAGGCCTTGTCATCATTATAATCCTTATCTAATACTATCTGGACTGGTTATGAATCGCAAGTGCTCAGTAAGATGGACTTTGATACATCCTCTGGAAGATGGACGAGGAGGGAGTGTTACAATGGTTATGTTCGCCCATGAGTCAACATGACCACCTGATTGTAGAGAGATGTTTACAGGTTCCCAGAGAGCTGTGAGCAGGGCAGATGAAAGTCTGAGTGTTGTTCTACATGGAGAGGGTTACGTCATAACTCCTCAAGGAATGTAGGACAAGAACTTGGAGGAAGATTAGGGTCACTGCAGGGTGACCTTTGTCCACTTGCTGTACAGCTGAGCTGGAAATGAACAGGTTCCCTTATGCTTCTTCGTGACATTAGTATTGACCACTGGAGCTTGCTGACGTTAGTACTGATCATTGGAGGTTTGTGACGTTATTACTGACCATTGGAGCTTCCTGACGTTAGCACAGGCAATTTGAGCTTGATGACATTATTACTGATCATTGGAGCTTGAAGACGTTTGTACCGATCACTGGAGCTTCCTGACGTTAGTACTGCCCACTGGAGCTTCCTGACGTTAGTACTGCCCATTGGAGCTTCCTGACGTTAGTACTGCCCATTGGAGCTTCCTGACGTTAGTACTGCCGATTGGAGCTTCCTGACGTTAGTACTTCCCATTGGAGCTTCCTGACGTTAGTACTGCCCATTGGAGCTTCCTGACGTTAGTACTTCCCATTGGAGCTTCCTGACGTTAGTACTGCCCATTGGAGCTTCCTGACGTTAGTACTGCCCATTGGAGCTTCCTGACGTTAGTACTGCCCATTGGAGCTTCCTGACGTTAGTACTGCCCATTGGAGCTTCCTGACGTTAGTACTGCCCATTGGAGCTTCCTGACCTTACTGCTGACTCACTCACTCACTCACTCAATCACTAAGTCACTCGTGTTCTACCAAATTCTGAATCTCAATAAGACTTCATCTCATCACGCAGTTATGAATTCATCAAAGTTTGATCAAAATTCAACTTTGTCCAGGAGCCAAACATTTCATTTTGACATTTAGCAAACCCGACAGATTAAGGGGTTAGCAATGAATGTACAATACTGATAACGAACTGAAGTCTTCTTGTTGGCGCCAGGTGTTAGAAGTTCTCATCTGTCTGGCTATGTGTTAGTCTGTCATACAGACCCTGAAACAAATATATCCAATACAGTCTATAATGTTTGGCAAGTCTAGATTACTGCAGTATCTGAACATGAAGAAAGTCTCTGGGCTCCATTTTATTATATTTTATAACTATAATTTAACAACTGTTTTTTTCTGTAAAATATGTCCATTTCAGAGACTAGATGTTAGTCTAGGCTATGTGTATGAATTGCCGAAAATGTGTTTTTCAAATTCTCTGCCGTAATGACGTAATTGTAGTGATGTGCCATCGATGTGTCTAAATCTACTGAAGCGATCTCTGGATTTGCAACTTAAAACTTTCATAAACAAACGAAACTGTCGACCGAAATAAAGAGTTGCTATCAGTTTTCCCCCGGCTTACAAGAGAAATTTCAACCTTATTGTTTTCTTGCGAGTAGAATGAGTATAAATTCGGTAATGGCGAAAATGTTTTGTCACAAACGCTTCAGACGCAAACTCTTCTCTCACAGCAGCAATATTTATTGGAATTAATGGTCTAGCAAGTCACATACAATATATAAAAAATCACGAAGTGCAACAGATAAGAGGAAAAACAAACAACACGTTCATTCATTTTCATTCTTGGGGCACGGGTGGCCCAGTCGTCTAAGGCGCCGCGATTCGCTGTGCAGAGTTGCGTCCCTTGGGAACGCCAGAAACCTGTGATTGTTGGTTCGAATCCCGGTTCGCCCTGATTATGTTTCTAGGTTTGTCAGCATCATACCCGTGCTCGTGGGTTTCACCGAAGTGTTAAACGTCTGAGACCTGCATCACTTCGGTCTTTCCTCCCACATTAAGCTGACACGCCGTGATATAACTGGAATAATGTTAAAAGCGGCGTTAAAAGCAACCCAGTTCTCACATAATGGAACCCAGTTGTCTGAAGCCACAATTCGTTGTGCAGAGTGGTGTTCCTTAAACAGGATCTGCTGTTTGCCCGGGGTCACGGTAAACTTGTGACCCATCAAGCTGACACGGGATACATAGCTAGAATACTATTCAAAGCTCATTCACCATTTAGTGCACAATTGCGGAAGTTTCAAAGTGAAGAGAATGTTATTGTTCAGTTCATTCATAATTCAGAAATTCAGTCCAGGAAATGCTGGAACTACATACCGCTTTCTCTCAAACTCCTTGCTTGTCTAACGATCGGGTCGTTAGACGCTGTGACTTGGTTGATTGTGTGTCATCGTACCCGACGGCATGGGACGATGCTCATAATATCAACCACTAGTCTGTCTGGTCCAGACTCAATTATTTACAGACCGCCGGCATATAGCTGGAATATTGCTGAGTACGGCGTTAAACAACAAACATAGAATCATTCCTTTGATATAGTAATTTAGAAGCGTCCACGAGCGTGAGTGTCCCTTTTGTTGTGTGAGTTTCCAGAATATAAAGCAAACATCAAACGTCATCGTCTGAAGAACTTCATAGACTGGGCTTTGTCTGGCAACAACCGGCTGCGCAGGGAATGATGGTAACTAGTCACACCAGCTGACGGCCATATGTCCGCGAATGTTTGACCTCGGCTAACGGTCCTGCTTGTGTCGGTACTTAATCATGTTACACCGTATTTACGAAGGTGTTCACTAACGATTACAAGGGTCTTATAGCACACTTACAGGGGTGTTATGTAACAGTTTAGACTGCCCCCAACCGGACAGACTGCACGTGCGGGGTGTGGCCTGGTCACATGACGCCGATGAAGGTTCCAATATCATGACATTTGTTATCAGTGGAACGCTGTGCGGACATGTAATCAGACGACTGGGTTGCGTCTTCAAAGCTGTTTGATTCCGACAAGCGCGATAGGGTGGAGCTTATCGGATGTTGTTGTGTCAAATGTGGGTGTAGGATTAAGACTGGGTCAGTGCCTTCATGTTCCTGCGTTGTCAGATGTTTAAAAGTATA